AAAATCTCAGAAACACAACAATAAATTTTCACTTATCTCGCAGCTTAAAAAAATCGATTAAACAAAAAAAGGAAATGAAATGCAAAAACTTATTTTTCGTGTGTCTTTCAATCGTAAAAAAAAGTCAAACGAATGTGATTCCAATGACATGTGAGTGCAGTGCATATACATATATGTACGAGTTTATTCTACAAAGGATTGATGGATGTGAATGAAATTGATTGCTGATGAGATGTAAAATGTGAAATCAAAGAATGGAATTGAACGAAAAGGAAAAAAAAGAGAAATGCAAAAGTTTAAAAAAGGAGGAATAAAATCAAAGCTGGATAAATTTTAAATTGCGATGTTTTTGGAAATTTAAGGAGTAAGGATGCAATGAGTGGTGACTTTTTAATTAAGTTTTGTGAATGTTTGAGATATTTTTCTTCAACTTTTTAAATTTAAAATTTTTTGTTATTTCTATGTTTAACTTATTACGTTTCTTCAATTTTTATTTCTAACCTTTTAAATTTTTCAAAAACATTTTAAGCTTTCATTATTTTTTTTTCATTTTCATACAAATTTTAAATATTTTTTTTCAAAATTTTTCCAAAATAAATTAATTTTTTAAAACATTTCATTCTATTGAGTTACAATCTCTATGCCAAAATCCACCAAAATCAAAGAATTCACTCAGTCAAATCAAAATAAGCAGCATCAACATAACGATGCACATTCATTCATTTCAAAATAAAACAAACGCAAAAGTCAAAGAGACAAAAATCAAATGAGAATCAAACAAACAAAAAAACAGCAGCAAATTGAAATAAAAAAGGGAAGCAAATGCTGCAGCACAAAAAAAACTTCAAAAGAAGCAAAGAGAAGAAAAGGGAAAAATGAGTGATGAAAGACTGTCTGTCTATAGTCATCATATGTCGAATAATGTGAGATGAATGAGTGACAGTTTTGAGATAACAGAATGAAAAAAAAAGGAGTAAAACAAAATAAGAAGCTTTAACCGCTGCTGTTGTTGCTGCTGCTTTTTTGTCTCATGTCAAGTTTAAGCCGATTAAAAAATATTTGTTGTCATTATACAGCTTTTTAGTGTTAGCGGTTGTTTGGGGAAGCTGTGGCGAGGGATATAAGCAGTTTGGGGGTGTAAAGTAAATATCACTTTGGGAGTTTTTTGATGTCTCAAGAAACTGACTTAGATTTTGATTTGTTAAATTTGCTCCGTTTTGGATCAGTTTGATTCAATTATGATCAGTTCAAGCTGAATTCTGATCAGTTTTATTTCTATTTCAATTAGTTTGGTTCATTTTGATACGTTTTGGTTAAATTTTGTGCAGTTTTGGTTCAATTTCGCTCAGCTTTGGTTCAATTTCGCTTAAATTTGGTTCAATTTCGATCAGATTTGGTTTCATTTTAATTCAACTTCATTCACTTCTCAATCAATGCGCTCAAACCCCACCCATCCCCCTCACATACTTACTTTTCCCTTTCATTGTGTCTCTATGCTACGTTTTATTCTCATTTTTTATTTGTTTCGTTGTTCAAATGAATGAGACTTCTTAAAAATTTTATTATGTTATGTTGATGAGCTAACGAGTGATTGCTGCCGGGTTTCTTTTACCTCATCGTTTTCACTGACTTCACATACATCTTTTCTGTGTTTGACATCGGCAAAAGTTTGATTTTTTTTAATAAATTTTATTCCTGTCTCTTTTCTGTAAAATGTCGTCAATCGTTGTGCTGTCATTGCTGCATTTTTTTTTTGTGTTGTCATTTCATGGAAATAATGAGCAACATGAGATGAATGAATGGACTGACTTGCTACTGCTGCTGCTGATTTGCTTGATTTTATTTCATTCAATTATTTGCAAGTCTTTTATTTTTGTTGGGATTGAACTGGTTTTATTTATTGGATTGGTTGGTTGTGTCGTCTGGAACTGAAACAATTTTGATAAGGAAAAATTGAGGGGTAAGGGGGTATCATGAGGTGCCCTGAAGTCGCTTTATAAAAAATTTATATTTAAAATATTTTTATGGCTAATTTCTCCTTAAAAATTATCAAAAGATTCCAATAATCATTAAATCCTCCCAAACAATTCCCATCAAGAATGATTAATGACCCCAAAACATTTTTCACTCGAAATCATTTAACTCAATCCAATAATGACCAGCTCCCGCCCAGAAATTAAAATGTTTATCCATAATTTCAAGAAATAATCATCATCGCCACGCAAATGATCGGTTCATCCTCCAAAATTCACTAATTATAGGCTTCATGACCCAAAAAAATTAAGATTGAAATATTTTCGAGGCGCCAAAAAATTATTTTTTCACTCAAAATCTGCCGGGTGCCCTCAAGCAGTTGTGCATCTCACGAAAAATTTCTTATAAATTCGATTACTGAACTTTAAAATTTCTCCAGGCTATTTTTCATCTTAATTATGTTCCTTCAACAAATGCCTTCTGCTTCTCATATATTTTGAGTTGTTGCTTATTTTTTGTTGCAATTTTATTTAATCAAGTAGCGGAAAAATATAAATTAAAGGATAATCCATGTCTTAAAATTCTACAAGACATAAATTTACCTCAACTTACTTGTTCCATAAAAAGGCATCTTTTTTGTATGCGTTCCGAGTCATTTCATCGACGATAATTGCAATTTTTGCTGTTTTTGGGATTGAAAGTTTTTAACAAGGGTGTCCTTGTGGGGGTTATGAAGTGAATTTCTTCAATCTTTGAATTTTTGGCACTAAAGTTCTCAATTTTTCTCCAAATTAACCTTGCAAAAATCCTCAATTTCTACAAAATTCACGCCAAAATCCTCACAAGGAACCCAAAAAAAAAACTTCACAAAAAAATCCATTCAATCACTCGATTGATGACTGCCAGAAGTAGATATTGCAATGTCAAATAAACAACCGTCAAAATATTCTTTTTGTGTCTTTTTTTTGTGTGTTTGATGATCGACCGAAAAAGGAAGAGAGACGAAAAGTTATTTATAGGTGGAAGATGATGACGGATAAAGAATTGAATGAGAATTTGAACTTTTTATTTGTGTTTTTGTTGAATGGATTGATGTGAGGAATGAGCGTGTATGAATTGAGGATAGAAATCCAGTAATTACAGGAAAAATAAATTTTTATGCTTCTGAATTATTTTAAAAAATGAAAAAAAAAATTCAGATTTCAGATAAAAATTTATTCAAATTAGGTTTTTGAATTTTTAAACTTTTTAATTTTTTTCCAATTTTATAAGCTTTTTAAAATTTTTCCTTTTTTTAAATATTTAAAAAGTTTTGAGATTTAAACTTAATTCTCTGAAAATCAATAAATTTTCAATAATTTACTTCTAAAAATTCATCCAATTCCATCTCCTCCTCAATCTTTCATGCTGAACTTTTTTTTGCGAACCTCTCGAATTAATTTTCTGTTCCGTTGACGATCATCGAACAAAAAAAGAAAAGAAATGCTTTAAAGTCAACACAATGACGACAATAAAAAATTTATTTTGTTCATTTTAAATTGACATCTGTCAATCTCAAGCATCTCCTTCTCCCTCCATCCATTTATCTGAATTTTATTCTTTCTGTTTTTTGCAGTTGATTTTTGCCGACAATTCGAGTCGATTAACGAAAAAAATACAAGCAAATGCGATGACTGCGAGACGTGAATTGACAGTTGATTAAAATAAAAATTAGCATTGAATTTAAGAAAAATAAAAAATAAAAAAAAACCTTCAAAATGTTTTTTAATGAGATAGAAGATTTTTATTTTTCGAGAATTGTGTCTAAAAATGCAGCATAAAAATTCTAAATTGTCGCATATTTTTTCGTCTAAAAATTTATTTTGTCTGAAATCTAAACAATCGGCTTTTGTTCCTTCACAATCATCCAAAATGCACCGAATTTATTCTTTTTTTATTGATGATGCCGCATAAACATAAATCAAATTATGCTCCTTTTTGTTTTATTAAATGAAAATGCAATAATTTTTGGAAGAATAAATTTCGTTGTGGTTTTCATATTTCAAATGAAATTGTTTTTGAGTTTTAATCTTTTGTCTCGATCGAATTTTTGGTTTTGTAGATGCAGAAGAAGATATTTAAACCCGTTATTTGAACAAAGTTTACTGCTTCTTAGAAAAAAAACTACCGTTTGTTGAAACTTATTATCTGTGCAAATTTATATTAAGTTTACATAGAAGTCTGGAAAAAGATAAATATTTGATTTAGCTTATAAACTTTTTGATAAACAGCACAATTAATTTTTTAAAACATAAATGAATATGAGTTTGTTCACTTTTAACATTGCGCAAAAATCGACTTTTAACCCTCCCCCCCTCCCTCCCTCACTTCTCCCCCTAAAATGATAATGAGTTCGTTTGAAGGGTTAAAACTTTTAGATCTCCATCCCCAAAACATGCGAACATATTAACAGTTATTACAGTTGGGAAGTATCGATTTGAGATACCATGAAGACTTACTTCAGCCACACAGTATCAACTGTTTTTAACGTTGGGTTCCTCAAAACCTCTTTAACTTTTGATCTATAGCTACATAAATGCGGTTCACAGTTGATAAGAGTTTAACTAGTGCGGATTTGCCTGATTTCTGTACTAAGACCTAGAATTACGATATATGAGATGATCCAACCCACTCTACAGCAGGCAGATTCCCATATTACCTAAATGTAAGTTTTATTTTCAGTATATTTGATTTGAAAAAAGATGAACGATAAACTTGCTTCCCATCACGAGTCTCTAACCAATGATTTTCAGGTAAGTATTGCGCCTTACTACTTCAATTTGTCTTAATTATTTTAAAATTTAATTTAAAAAATACTTCTTGTTGTTATCAAACAAAGTTTCTATATCTTTTAAATCATAACTTATCATATTTTTACAGCAAACATTTGAACAATTTTAGTATATTGCTGGTATTGTTTTAAAACTTGTATAAAACTTTGGGTTAGCTTCTTTAGTTTAATAGTTTTTATCAAGTTGTACGGAGGCGTTTAGTCAAGATAAAAATGATGAACTTAAAATTCTTTCTTCCAATTTTAATATTTTTAATAAATGTTTCCTCAACTCTTGCACAAAGTGAATACATAAGTGCAAATTATACACTTTTATACGACTATTACTACGCTCACCTCACAATAAACAATCCAAATGGATTAAATAATTTTAATGAGATAATTGGCATGGATCACATGATTGGGAAAAGCGATAATGACGTCAGAGTAATTAATCGTATGACTAAAACAGTTTCTACAAATATTCCTAGTATAATTTGTCAAAAATATAAAAATGCCATAAATATTGATCTACAGTTGATTGGATTTGAAAGGATCGATGATTATTCTTTTAATGGATGCAAAAATGTCACTGGCATTTACCTTTATGGCAATAAAATAGCAACAATACACGAAAAATCATTTGCTGAGAACTTTATGCTTCAAACGTTGTCGTTGTCGAACAATAAATTGACGACTCTTCCTGAAAACTTATTTGTAAATCAACAAAGGTTGGAAAATTTACAGCTTGATGGCAATCTCCTGTTAAATATACCGAATTACATATTTCGACCATTAATAAGTTTGAAATATTTGTACTTGAGGAACATGCAGTTGACGACAATTAAATCAGAATGGTTTGAAACTCTCGGAATGCTCAAAACACTAGATTTGCAGTCAAATCAAATAGAAGTACTGCCAGTTTATATTTTTATTGCACTTGAAAATCTAGCTTCACTTTACTTAACTAGCAATAAACTCAAAATTATAAATTCAAACTTTTTTGGACTGATTCACAAGCTAACTTATGTTGATCTTAGATCAAATCAAATCAGTGCAATTGATGAAAAATTCATTGATAATTCACCATTAATAACTTTAATGATGCAGACTAATTTGTGTTCTAATGTTAATGCATATAATGGTAATAAAACAATAATCAAACAAGGTCTTCAAGTGTGTTTCGACAATTTTGAGACTATAAAGAGTAGTAAGTATCATTAGTGTAGCCAACAATATCTTGAACTCATATTTTTAATACCTTTACAGCTACCACTACCACAATGCCACCACCATCATGTAATATTGCAGATCCTACAGCTGAACTCTGCGACATAAAAGTCAAAATTAGAGCAGTCGAAGGAAATCTTACTAGCATTGTTCAAAATGCATTCGACTTAATAAACTATCAACGAGATCGCATCACCAAAAATGAAAATGATATCAAAGATCTTAAAGCAACTGTCAGTCAACAACAAATCAGCTTAGATGAAAAAGATGCGTCAATTGCTGCGATAAGAGAAGAAATAAAACAATTTCAGTCATCTAGCAATAACAATGATATAAATGCTGAGATTCAAAACATGCAAGCTAATATTAACTTCTTGTTGTCACGTTCTTGTACATGTAATTGATTGCTTTTTAAATAATTACTATAAAGATTGTGAAGCTAATAAAGTCAGAGGTTTTAAGACAGTAAATTTTGTTTTAATAAAGTTTGTTTTAAATATTTTGTTTTAATTATTTATTTGAATATTTAAAATTATGACTGGACAACCCCCCCACTAAACTAGCACTAATACTTTACAAGCGAAGAAAAATATTTTAAGAGCTCCTCTTTTAGACTTTTATTCTGGCTATGTCTCTGGTTTCCCTTAATATTTTTATAAACTTAAAAAAAATTTATTCATATCTTGGACATTTATACAAATATTTCCTAGGCGTGGATACTATCTCAAATCTCCCAGATCTCCCAAAAATTTCCAAAATAATCCCTGTCTCCTTTATTTATTAATATTGAGATATCTCATCGAATCCTAAAATTATTTGTTAAATTATAGGATGGGATATCTTAATTATCGTTCATACAGGCTTAGGGATTATTTTAGAAATTTTTGGGATATTTCAGATATTTCGGATAGCTTCCACACCTTGAATATTCCAGAGCTTTACTTATATTATTCGCCAACTTTACGTAAACCACTCCATTTTAGAAACTTAGCGTAACCTAAAATTTATAGTATTTTTCAGTAAACATCAACAATCATAAAACTTTAGCAGTTTTGATAACAAACATTATAAAAACTAAAATCGTCTGCTCTATTTTCTTATTATCCATTTAAGAAGACAAAGGTGTAGATAAAGATTTCCACAAAAAAACAAGATGAACTTTAAAGTTTGTCTTTCAATTTTAATTTTGTCGATTAATTGCTGTTCGATTCTTGCACAAAGTGAAATTTTAAGTGCAAATTACACAACTTCATATACTTATTTGTGCGCGTACCTGACAGTCAATAATCCAAATGGTTTGAATAATTTTAATGACATAACTGATGTAGATCACATGACTGGAAAGGGTGATGATGATGTCAAATACGTTTATCGTGCAGCTAAATCAGTTTCTACAAATATTCCGAGTATAATTTGTGAAAAATATAAAAGTGCTACAACAATTGACCTTCAGTCAATGGGAGTTGAAAGAATCGACGATTATTCATTCAGAGGATGTAAAAATATCACCTTCATCTACCTTTATGGAAATAAAATCACTGAAGTTCACGAAAAATCATTTTCTGAAAATTTGTTGCTTCAATCGTTGTCACTTACTTCAAATAAGTTGACGACCTTGCCTGATAATTTATTCGTAAATCAAGAAAAATTGGAAAATTTACAGCTTGACAACAATCTCCTGTTAAATTTACAAAATAACATATTTCGACCATTGATAAATTTAAAGTCATTGTACCTAAGAAACTTACAGTTGACTACAGCAAAACCTGAATGGTTCGAAACCCTTGGAATGCTAAAGACATTGGATCTACAGTCAAATCTAATTGAAAAGCTTCCCAAAAATATATTCAACAAGCTTGTCAATATCACTTACATCTCTTTAAGATACAACAAATTTAAAGTTCTTTATGCTGACTCTTTTGGATATTTGCTGAGTTCCCCGAACATTGATTTATATTCCAATAAGATTTATGCTGTTGACGAACAATTTATTTATAATGTTGGACCTTCATCGATTGATTTGCAGTCTAATATTTGTGGAGAAAAGAGAATTAGTGATACCACAGTTTACAGAGTCATAATGAGGACGGCACTAAAGGGATGCATCGAAAATTATTACACATTTATTGGTTTGTACAACTTTAAATTATTGATTTTTGAATATTTTTGATTTATTTTCCTTGCATCAACAGGAAAACCTTCAACAACAACTGAAATTTCAAATCCTTCATTAACCACACAAGAAGGGTCAACCTTAAACCCATCTACAGAAAATATTGAAAATAGAGTCTTTTTATTGGAATGTAAAGTTGAAAACCTTACATCATCTAATGACCAAATAACAGCAGACTGGAAGAATCAATATCTACTTAGTGCAAATAACCAAGAAGAAATCAGAAGGCTGCAAAATAAAGTTTTCGATCTTCAAGCTAGTTCAGATGTTAAAGATAATTTAATTGATGAAATTAAGGCAGAGAATCAACAACTTAAAAATGTAACTAGTAATATGCAAACCACAATCGATGCTATTTTGAAGGATAAAGTAGTTATGCAGAACAATTTCCAAAATAATATTGTGAGTCTGACAACAGAGCTTCAAAATCTACAAAGTCAAGTTAGAGAATTAATGTCATGTGTTTCTTGTGGCTAAAATCAATTTATTTTTAAGGAACTCAATTGAATAAATTCATTAAAGTACGAAAAATTATGAGTTAAGAGTAAATGCTTATATTTTGCTTTACATAATAATATAATAAATTTAAAAAAATCTTTAAACTTTTTTGTCTATAGTAATAGGGCAGGTGCCACATAAAAGTTAAGAAAATTTTTGAGAGTTGATTTTCAAGGCTATTTAAGTGAGATTATTTTGGAGAGGGAGGTTTTTGAAATTTTCAAAAAAGATCCTAATGACGCCCATCAAAAAACATGATTTTTAAACCTCAATCCACCTGTCATAAAATCCTAGACTCCTCTACTCCTAAATTTCGGAGGTAATAAGTGAATGATCTCTAACAGAATAAAGTTTTTAAACCTTAACCTCAAATTACAACAGAATCTATTGTACGATACCCTTTAAATCTACAGTTTATAGTGGAAATTGAACCACTTACAAGTTCTGCAACTTGCAAAGACACTAGTAAGTCTAAATACCTGATATACCATACAATGTCCCTAGTCACAATTTGTTTGTGCAAGATGCTGTAATAAAATCATCCAGGTACTATTATATCCTAGTAAACCTATCAAAGAAGACACGTTATGTGCCGAAGACCTCAAAACCTTTCAAAACTACACCCAACACACAAACCGAGCTTCGTAACTAGAACGGTGAAACGGAAAAAGAGCTTCTTAAACTTGACTTGAACTGGGATTGAACCCAGAACATTTGGCTCGTAAGGCCAACGCTTCATGCCATTTCACCGCGTTTTAAACCTTAGAGGGAATAAATTACGCAAGTCCCACCTTTAGACACGCGCCTTAATTTAATTCATAAGTCTAACCTTGAACTTGTTATTGCTTGAAGAAATTAAATTTGTTAACTGTTCAAATATTTAACATTTTACAATCTAATCTCAGAAAGTAATGATAAGAAAGCACTATATTAACTAGCATCAGCTGATTTTAAGCTATTCAGTCTTGAACTTTATAGTTGCATTAGCTTTGTAGCTGCTATAGCTTTTAACCGGCAAAGAAATGATAAGTTTTAAAGTTTTGCTACTTTTCGTGAACCTCCAAGTGATTTTTGGTCAAAATGAAATATTGGATTGTGCCTATACCTTGCCTGCTTATGGTGGATATTCGTGGAGATGTGCTTTGATAATTATGAGCTTTTAGTGCCAGGTATGTGATGAGCATCCGACCTTTAAATAAACATATATCAAATTTATTAATTTATTACAGCCTGTCCAATCGGTAATCTTGATCAACGTGTCTGCAAACTTGAGGCAAATAAGGAAGAAGTTGATGAAAACTACAGTTATCTTTATCAACAAAGTTAAAAGATGAAAATATGAGGATGCAACCGATCATTTATGAGATGCAGAAATATCTGGAAAATCAGAAGACTTTCCTTAGTAACCAAAATGTTCCATATAATCTTCCTTCGTTATATATTATATTATAATTATATGGAAAATATTTGTTTTACAAATATGTAACAGAAGTGTTCCATCGAAGTATTACCCGAGCCTGCTTAGGATCAAATCCTATGAAATATCATCAAAAATCGTTCATCAGTATGCGACTTAATTAAATTAAGTCCTTTTGTTCTTTTTCGTAGTGTTAGTGTACTTTAATTAAGTACACACTAATACTTTTACAAAAAATTACACAAATAAATGAAAAATACAAAATAACACGTGGAATTTAACACGTGTTTTATTCAAAAAAAGTAATCCATTTGTTTTCCATTTGTATTCCTTTGATGTATTACATTGATGTCTTATTGCATTGTCCATTTATCTTTCATTTTCATAGGACATCATCTTCCGATGGATAATACATATGTATCATCCATGGAAGATTCTCATGGAATACATTGATCTACCTTTTGGTTACTAGGGTTAGAGGAACAATTTAAAGCAATTGTAGCTTCAGTTGAGAGATTGTTGAAGCAGGTCTTCAACTAATATGCAAAGTTCTCTCGCTGATATAGACATGTGTAGATTTTTGTAATTAATTAAAAACTACTGCACAATTAATTATTGAATTTTTTTTTAAAATAATTTTAAATCAATTTTCAAGCTCCTCAAAAAAAAAGGTAAAGCATGTAGAGGGCCCAACCTTTTGAGCTGGAGGCACTGCGATTAAAATAGGAACAGTCTCTATTGCACGATACCCTTAAGACCTACAGTTTATAGTGGACTCCGAACCACTTGCAAACTCTGCACATTGCAAAGTCACGAGTAAGTCCAAATACCTGATGTACCCTTCAATGTCCTTCGTCACAATTCGTGTGTGCAAGATGCTGTAATGAATCCAAGGGTGTGGAACTGAAGAATTACATTTTGATCATTTTTGATAATTTCATCAGTATCACATCCTTGAATGAATCATCCTAGTGTATTCTAGTATACCTAGTAAAGGAGACACGTTATGTGCCGAAGACCTCAAAACTACACCCAACACACGAACCAAACTTTGTAACTAGAACGGTTAAGTTGACCTGGGATTGAACCCAGAACCTTTGGCACTTAAGGCGAACGCTCTTCCACTTAGGACACTGATGACATTTCACCACTTTTCAAACTCGTTATGAACAAGTTGATTAGCAACAAAATCTTCAGATTACGATACGATTTGATATTACACAATCATTTCTATAACCAAACTTATAACAAAAACTCAATCGTAAAGTTTTATATTGTATCGATAGTGGATCACAGAGTTGTCATTATATTTTATCACTTCAATAACAAACCAATTAAAGCTGATATAATAAAATTTTTGATTTAAACTCATCATCATGATTTTTTACAATGTCCTCTGAGAATATACCAATAATATTTTTAAAACACCTTGATTAATTGGAAAACCTTTATCCGCTTATCATTGTTTATACGTTTCCGATGACAGACAAGCAATTTTATAGAAAACTTGAAATAATATCGATAAGAAAAGTACTATAAAGCTCACCGGTACTTAAAACTGATTCATTATAACTTAAGTGTCATTCAGTTAAACAGTGCAATGCGTTTGAAAATAATTTTGTCAATTTTCATTTATTTATTATATTCGAACGGAGTTTTGTGTCAGAATGAGGTTTTACGGTGTGATTTTATATGTTGGGTACCAACAGCATGCAATGGAAATTTAACAATTTTTAATCCAAATGGATTAAACAACTTTACAGAAATTACTGGACCAACTCGACAGGATGATCTTTTAACAGAACTTTATTCAGTCTCAGGATCGTATTCCGTAAATGTTCCACAGTTGATTTGCGAGACATTCAAGAAACTTTCTAAAATTGGCTTAGCTCAGATGAGTCTTGAAAGAATTGACGACTATTCATTTAGGAGCTGTAAGGAACTGACTTTTATATTTTTGTGGGGGAATAACATTTCATATATTGATGAAAATGCATTTTCTGAAAATCCTAAGCTTATTCAATTAGCTTTATATGAAAATAAACTTAAAACCTTGCCAGAGAATTTATTCTTAAATCAACAGAAGTTAGAATCATTGTCATTGGAAAATAATCCATTTACTGACATCCCAAAATATCTCTTCAAATCATTGATTAACTTAGAAGTTCTTTATCTCAAAAATGATCAAATAATTGATGTTAAACCTGAATGGTTCGAGACTCTAGGATTATTAAGATATTTGGATTTATCTTATGAATCAAATCGAATTGAGAATTTACCGAGTAAGGTATTTGAACCTTTAAAGAGCGTCACATTTATTGGGTTAAGAGACAACAAGCTAACAGTCATTCATGCCGATTCGTTTGGGATTTTGATAAGCGCACCCAAAATTGACTTTTACAACAATCAAATCAATGCGATTGATATTCAATTTATATTCAATACTAATGCAAGCGTAATATACATGCAGAAAAATGTATGTGCGAATGTTTCAATCAGTGATAGTTCGACATCAAAGAATCTTATGAAGACTGGATTTAGGAAATGTTTTTATAACTATAAAGCTTTAGGACGTGAGTTATTTGATGATTTTCATAAACTTAGTCAGGTTTATAAGGTCAACTTAATAGTTCAATTGCTAACATTAAATTAAAAGATCACTAGTTAAAGCTGTTCTTAGATTAAAAACAACTTAGCTACTCTGATAAAATGTATCCTAGCAGAAATTTACTAGTAATTTCCTAGTAATTCACTTGATAACTTTCCATTTGCTACTTGCTATTTACTAGTCAAAATCCAAGTTCAAATCATCGCCAAAGACCCGCATTTTCACTTGCTAATTGACTAGTCAATTCGCTTACAATTTAACTAGTAATTTACTAGCAAATTTGTAAAAAAATTAAATGAATATAACCGTTGATTTCCACGTGTTCTTTTGATTTTTTTTATTTGTGTAAATTATTGTAAAAGTATTAGTGTGTACTTATTAAGTTAATTAAAGTACACTAGCACTATGATAAAAAACAAAAGACTTAATTTAATTAAGTCGAACACTGATGAACGCCCATGACTCGCACGCAAACCTGAGGAAGATAAATAATTAATTGAAAGTCATATGCAAATTTGGATCGACCTTATAAAGGTGATTTCTGCGCGCTCTTGTGAAGTATATGGCAAATGCCAAATTTAGAACAAAATTTTTTTTGACGCAAAAAATTCTTTTTTTGATGATTTTTCGTAGGATTCGAACTTAAGAAGATTTGATCAAACATTTTACATGGTAATTTGCTAGTAATTTGCTAGTAAATAGCGAGTGGAATTTTCTAACAGTAAGTTGTTTTAATAATTACTAGTAAATTGCAAGTAGTAAAATAGAAAGACTAGCAATTTGCTAGTTAGTCTTGCTAGGGGTAGCTTCACAAAAATTGAATATAATTTTATTATAGAAACTTCAACCATCCCAACAACTGTAACTACCATTTCTTCAACAACATCCCGATCTACAACAGTTATTCCATCAACTTCAACTTCATCAAGCTGCTCTAGTGATAATTGGACAACAAGAATTTGCACAATTGAAGATAATATTGATGAATTTGAAAACAACTTTGAAGAATTCGGGGAAAATATTATAAATTTATCAACAGATCAGGAAAAGATTAAAGTCATTTTAAAGGAACATCTCAACTTGATTTTAGAGAATCAAAATAAAATTGCCTCACTTGAAGCAATAATTGCTGGATTGCAGGAAGAGTTGAGCAATAATAAAGGAACAAGCAATTGAGTTTTGACTAGACATTCCAATCTAATAGAAATTTTATAGAATTTAATTCAGAACTGTTGATTTTGAAAAGCATTTTGCTTTTAATTCAAACCTTTTTTGCATTTTTGCATTTTTGTTAATTTTGTATCTTAATAAATAATTTTTCCAGTATTTCAAGTATGTCTTTCTGGCACAAACAGTGCTATTATACGTTAGCTTATCATTGTCTGTTGACTTTCCAATCAAAATAAAAAGAAATATTGATAAGGAAGTAATATAAAACTTGACAACACTTAAAACTGATTCATTGATACTTCAAAAGTCGTTCAGTTAAGACGTGCAATGGGAACAAAGTTTATTTTAACATTAGTAATTGTGTTCCTACATTTGTGTGGAGTTTTGTGTCAAGATGAGATTTTAAATTGTGATTTTACATGCCGTTATCCAACAGTTTGTTCTGCTAATCTTACAATTTTCAATCCAAATGGATTAAACAGCTTTAACGAAATTACTGGTCCAGCTCGACAGAACGACGTTTTTAGCGAAGTTTTTACAGTATTTGGATCACATTCTACAAATGTCCCGCAGATAATTTGTGAGACTTTTAAAAATATTTATAGAATCGGTCTGAATCAAATTGGTCTTGAAAGAGTTGATGATTATTCATTTAGGAGCTGCAAAGGGTTGATTTATATATTTTTGTGGGGAAATAATATTTCCTATATTCACGAAAATGCATTTGCTGAAAATCCAAAACTTTATTATTTAGCTTTGCAAGGCAATAACATCAAGATGTTGCCAGAAAACGTGTTCCTTAATCAACAAAAATTAGAATGGCTATCGCTCGAGGGTAATCCCTTCATTGACATTCACAAATATGCCTTTAAGCCACTGATCATCTTGGATAAACTTCATATTAAAAGAAGTGAACTTGTTGATGTTAAGCCTGAATGGTTTGAGACTCTAGGAATGCTGACATTTTTGGATCTATCAACAAATCTAATTGAGACGCTACCAAAAAAAGTATTCAATCCACTTAAGAATATCACTTATATTGGATTAATTCACAACAAGCTAACAGTCATACATGCTGATTCATTTGGAATTTTGATAAGCGCACCCAGAATAAGCTTTTACAGCAACAAAATAAATGCGATTGATGTTCAATTTATATTCAATACTGGAGCAAGTACGATTGATATGGAATATAACGTATGTGCTAAAGTGACAATAAGTGATAATTCAACATCCAAGGAACTAATGATGACTGGATTTAAGACTTGTTTTGAGAATTATAAAGCTATGTCAGGTGAGAAGTCATTAATGAACAGGGCTTGTTTGAAAAGCTATCATTGTTCATCTAGATATGATAATAATTCCTAAAGTAAAGTAATCCAATGTAATTAAATTTACAGAAATGACAACTTTGCCAACAACAATAACGACTGATTCGACAACAACCCAATCCTCAACTTTACCCACTAGTTCATCAACTTTACCGCCTGGATGTACTAATGAGAACTGGATTGAAAGAATCTGTAAAGTTGAAGAAAAATTCGAAGAATATGAAACAATCTTTAATGAAATCGAAGAAAAAATGGAAAATTTAACAAAAAATCAAAATGGAATGTTAAGAAGTTTAGAGGATCAACAAAGTCAAGTTACTGAAAATAAAAATGAAATCATTTCACTTAATGAGATTATTTCTATATTGAGGAAAGATTTAGACAATCAGATTGAAATAAATGCTAATCTTGAGAATAAAGTTAAAAAAATAGAGGAAATCGCAGAATTATTGAACAAAGAAAATCAACAAATCAAGAGGGATAAAGACATATTAGAATTTAGAGTTGAGAGTCTCAGTAATTTTGTCAAAACTGAAGTTAAGAATTTGGAAGATAAAATTCTTGTTTTGTCGACACGACCATGTTCATGTAATTAACTGAAACTTAATGAATAAAAAAATGTGTGTCATCATTAAAGAATTTTGAAAGTAAATCTTTAATTTTGCATTTGAATTTTGAGCCAACATAAAGACACAGATAACAAATTTCGCGATAATTTTGATAAGAAAATGCTCTGGAAAATCAACAATCTCATCACGAGACATAATATAAATACACAGTGCGATTACTTATTTATCTTGCAAACTGACGATTTAAAGGGGGAAACAGTTTCAAGGGAAACATTGTTGAAAGGAAATTCTAGACTAGTTTTTTTCTTTTTTCGCTATTTTCCATAAAAACTGAGTTCTAAAATGAAAACTACAAAATCTCATGAAATTTTACAACAAAACTTTTTCCCAATCATGTTGTTTTCCCCTTGAGCAAATAAATTTTTTTTTTGTAAAAGTCGTCAGTCGGTTTATAGGACTATCCGGAACACCCTAGCTTCTTCATGAAAAAAAGAATGATATCAACTCAGGTAAGATTAGAAAATCGAGCACAGATTTCCTAAAAGCACAAGTCGGTTAATTGAATAGAAGTCTGGCGAAAAGCCGACATGACTCTGGCATGATGCTATCCTCAAACCAAATCCAGTACCATGCCAGAATCACAACAGTTTGGTGCCGGATTAACCAATTTGAGCCATTCGGGATTATGTTTTGGATGGGTTTGTTTGAATATTTTGACAACACCAAATAAGTCTTCCATCTGGCTGATGTCATTAAAAGTATTAAAGTCAAGCTCGCTGATGGGCTGGACATGTTATGAGGAGACCTGTGCAAGCTCCATTAAGTAAGGTCTTTAAGTCGGAATTTGTTAATGGAAAAAGAGCACGTTGAAGACCAAAGAACTCATGGAAAGAGGCTGGATTGCATTTGGTATAGGAAATTGACAAGCGGTAATCAGCGATAGAGCCAGTTTTAGTCGGCATCTGAGGTAGGCCATGGATCACAATTGATCTGTAAGGCCATCGAAGTAAATAAGTAAGTAAGTTAATCTTCCAGTTCAAGTAGAGTACGAACCAAAACACACATTTTTATACTTACACTGTCTCCTTTCATATGAACTATTCAACATTCACAACAATTCTCAGTATCATTGGTATTTACTCTTAAAATAAAACGTCATATTCGCAAAAACAACATCAATAAAAGTTGAGATTTTTGATAAGAAAATGATATAAAATATTTGAATATTTTGCACATCTATCCAGTCACAAGAAGACTTTATAAGTTTCAAAATGTACCTAAAAATATTATTAGTTGTTTTAACTTTGTCGATAAATTCTCAATCGATCTTCTCTCAAACTGAAGGATTAAGTTGCAGATATTTTGAAGACATCTCCGGCTACAACTGTGAATTGATCATCCAAAATCCAAATGGGCTTAATAATTTCACAGAAATTAGTGGTGATCACATTGATGGAAAATCTGACAGTGATGTTAAAGTTGTCAATGTTCACAGATCAATCACAACAAATATTCCAGCAATAATTTGTGAAAAGTTTAATAACATCCAACGTGCTAGCTTTGAATCAAGTGGGATTGAAAGAATCGATGACTATTCATTCGCGCATTGTAAAAATCTCACAAAGTTAAGCATAATGTACACGATGGTCAAAAGAATCGACAGAAATGCATTTAAAGAAAACCTGATACTTGAAAGTTTGATTATTGACGATGCGGAATTGTCAACCATGCCGAATAATATATTCTCAAATGCAAGCAGAAAATTGAAATTTTTGAGCCTACAAAAAAATAGTTTTAAGATCCTAAAAGCTGAATGGTTCCAACCTTTAGTAAAACTTGAAGAATTGAGATTAGATTTTAATGAAATTGAGGAAATTCCGGAAAATGCATTCAGTTCTATAAAGAATCTTAGGTTGTTGTCAATGACTTATAATAAGCTCAAAGTTCTCAGCGCTAAGTCGTTTGGTAATTTGTCAAAATTAAATGATTACAATTTCTTTAATAATCATCTTAACGCGATCGACGAAAACTTATTAAATAGTTTAAAATTCGATAGTTCAGCTTTTGGAAACAATTGGTGCACTTTAGTTCCTAGCGATCAAAGTCTCTCCGTTGAAAATTTGGAAGAATGTATCGAAAACTATCGTGCATTTGATGCTGGTAAGAATTTTTGTCTTTTGATTTTAATTTGATAAATCTTAATTCATTTTCTTTTAATTTTACTGCTTATAAACTTTAGGATGCACCCTCGGAGACACTAATGGCAGGATTTGTAAATTGGAGAATGATAGCCAAGAATTATCAAAAGCTATTTCATCAAATAATGTTAAATTACAAGCACAGATTGATGTCCTGACCATTGCAATTCAATCGTTGCAGAATCAATTAAATTTACTGAATGTTGGCTAGTAAACTTCGATTTGTACAACTTTATAAAGTTTGAATAAAGAAATAAAATTGCGATGCATTTTTAAAATAAAGCTAAGAAAGGCGCGTAACCAGGGGGTGGGGGGTTTGAGGACAAATCCCCCGACGTTAACAGAAATTTCTTTATTTTGCTAGGAGTTTTATGAAAATCATTTCAAAAATTCCTCAATCCACCCCCCCCCCCCCCCTACCATCTGTATTTTTCATATAAATTTTTTTTGTCCTTTTCCTGGCTACGCCACTGAGCTAAGACATTAGAATAGAATAGAATATGATGTAGGGTTTGATTCAAGGCTCTCGCAGATTATAATCTTCAACAATCCATGCAGCAGTAAATCATCAATTTATCTAACATCTTCTGCAATATATAAAATCAACTTTCAAACGTTCACAAAAAAAAACCATGAAATTATCAGGTCAAAAAACGAAGGAATCAACTTAAAACATCATAAATCTCAGTTCCTTCTTCCTTTCTCAAATAACAAAAGAACCTAAAAAAACTAAGTCAATATGGAAATGAACCTTAAAAATGTTAATGTCCAACGACTCTTTAATGCTGTTCATTATAGCCTGTCTACTCATCATCTCCATACCCTCTTTATTTATGCATTTTAAAACTCAAGTTTTGTTAAATGAGAATTAAGTGAGAGGATAATTTATGACACACAAATGTGGAAACATGTGTACATATGCTTTAAAATATTATTTTTTTACAATCTCTTAACTATTATTGCCATAACATGTAGCCATTTCTGGGAAACTGAAAATGTTACAGTTTTAATTTATTATGGCAATTTTTTTTTCGTATGTAATGTGCTGCTGTCTAAATTAGAGCTTGTGTTGAAATAAAATAAATTTTTTTTATGACTTTTACAAGTAAAATTATGAGTTTGTTTAGAGTTGTATTTCATAGTTGGTTGGGGATGGGATTTGTGGATGTTAACTTAAAATTTTATCGTATTTAGAATTGCAGAATCCATGAATTTGTGAAGTCAACTATAATCTGAGATCTTTTTATGAATACTTTGAACTATGGAAGTGTTTCTCAAACAATCTCCAGCTGAGCTTTAAATTTCCTTGAGAAAATCTAAGAAGTGTCAATAATATTTGCCTTCGTGACGTGAAAATGGATGATTTAATGCTCCGCGACCTAAAATACTTGAGAAACACTGAATTAGGTGGTTCGATTTAAATGTGGTGACTATCAAAAGTAAGGTTTTTTAATCTGACTTCAACTTTACTAATATCGAGACACCTAAATAGGTAATGTTATGTAAAATAAATTATGGTCGTTAACCGTTAAAGGTCATTAAAATCATGTTAAACATTTAAGGGGGTAGGGGTGGAAGGTAGGAGTCTTTAGTTTAATGACTGTTCAAACAATGGAAATTTTTTTCTCATATAAATTTTTCATCTATCCAATGAAGGGGTCCTAAAATATGGTTTGTTGATGGAAGTTATTCACAAACAACTCCTTAATTGATGTCAAAAAAGTCAATCAATTTTTAATGCCCAACACCGGTCAACAATCCCACATAAAACATGAATTTCCACAAATCAGTTCTTTTCTGAAGAAATAAAATGTTAAATGAATTTTGCAACAATAAAAACAAAGAAATGACGAAACATTGCTTCCTATATTCTTATCAATTAACCGATAAGAGCTAGATGTATAAAAACACAAACATTTTTTTCAATGCATTCAGTCATAAAAAATTAATCAAGCCAATCAAAATGAAGAAAATATTAATCATTTTTGTAATTTTAAATTCAAGTTATTGTCAAGAATTAAGTTGTATTTACATAAATGATAGCATTAATAATTACAGTTGTAATCTTACAATTCAAAATCCATATGGACTGAATAATTTCACAGATATAAGTGGGAAACATTTGTCTAGGATGACAAACGATAATGTTCAAACTATTTTATCAGTTCCTGGATCTTACTCTTCTAACATTCCATCAATAATTTGTGATACATTCAAAAATTTAATTAGGATTCAACTTAGTGACGTAGGAATTGAAAATATTGACGAAAATTCATTCAAAAATTGTGAAAATCTAGCAATTTTAAATTTGCAATCTAATAAAATTTCAAAAATTGATGAAAAATCATTTATTCACAATTCTGAGTTAACAACTTTAATTCTTAATGAAAATCAACTATCAACGTTATCTGAAAATATCTTCTTAAATCTACAAAAGCTTAATATATTGAACTTTGATATAAATAACTTAACTGACTTCCCAAAAAGTCTTTTTAATTCGTTAAAAAATTTAACTTACTTAAATTTAAGTCGAAATCAATTAAAAACACTAAAAGTTGAATGGTTTGAAGATCTTCCGAGTTTAGAAACTTTATTCATGTTTATGATTCAGATTGATGAACTTCCTGATAACATTTTTAATTCATTATCAAATGTAATGCAGATAGAATTGCAATATAACAATTTGACAGTCATAAAACATGAATCTTTTGGTATTTCGCCAAATTTAACTGATGTGAATTTTTCTTTTAATCAAATCAATGCAATTGATGAAGGATTCATTAACAAGATTCCTATAAAGAATTTAAATATGATGAATAACAATTGTTCAAACGAATTAATTAGTGATTATACAGCCACAAAAGAAACAATGAGAACAAAACTAAATAATTGTTTAGAAAATTATGAAATAAAGATTTTAGGTAAGATTTCAAATAAATTAAAACACTAGTAAAAGTCAATTTAACGTTATTTTAATTAAATAGAAACAACAACTTTAATCAACGAGCTATCAACTACAACAGCTCCAGCATGTACTAAAGGAAATATAGATGAAAGAATCTGTAAACTTGAGGATCTAATTAATAAAATGCAAGATAATATGGACAATCTTCGTGAAGAAAAGGAAGGAATGCAGGACAATATCATTGACCTAAGCAGGCAAAATGAGAAAATTAACGAAGAACTTAAGGATCAAAAGTCAATAGTAGCTGAAATACAAGAAGAAAACCAACAACTTCGATCAACAACTGAGAAGCTACAAGAGAAACTAGAAAATCAATCTCAATTCTTTACAACTTCTCTTAAGGAGCTAGAGAATAAAATCTTGATCTTCTCAACTCGTCCTTTTACTTGTTAGGTTATGAAGCTTCATAATGTTGAAGATAATTCATTATTTATATTAATTCTAAACTAGTTTAAGCTATTTGCATTGTGTAATCTTAACATCCATACTGATAACCTTAAAAATTGACATTTCCGACATCTTTGCTCAGACGAGCCATTACAAACAACACTAAATAATCCATCCTAATCCCAAATCAGCAATAAACTAATTGATTTATAACCGAAAAAAACGACTCAGACTTCAAACTAGCCTACATTCAGTCTCCAATATAATTTATGACTTCCACTCACTTAAGCGTGAATTTATGTTCATTTTTCATGTCTAATGTTGTGAATATGCTGTAAATTTAGACTTCAAAATAAATTTTTTAATGGCAATTTGTGTAACTAGACGCCTTAAAAATATGAAACTTTATTTTCATTTCCAGAATTCATTTTAGATAATTTAATGATGATTGACAGGCATAAAGGACTACTTGAGGTCCTTACTGCTGTCATAAACATACATGAGAATATTAAATATTAATTTACACATCGACAATCGTTAACTAATGTTTTTGGAAGTTATAAATTATCTTGTTACACACATGACATGGCATATGGTTGTGTGAGGCACATTCGATCCTTTATTTGTTTGAAAAATTAATTTTTATGGAGTTTTTGAGTCAATTTATAGATCTGCTTTGTTGCTGTGATTGGACCTCTGCAGTGCACTTTTTTGTGAGTCTCCTGTGGCTTCTTTTCGAATTCTTTGTGTGCTTCATTTGGTTTCTTTTATTTCAATTTTTTTTATGAGGAGAAAAATTACATTTTAAATGATTCTTAAATTGTCTCAACAGTTTTCTACGTAAATTTATTGTCATACATTTTTGGGTTTCTTTTTTGGAGCAGGATTTTTTGAGATGATTGGAATTTAAAGGTTATCGATTTGTCTTGAGGAATGATAGGTCTTATGAAGGTGTAATAAATGAATATTGGGGTTTTAGGCATAAACATTGCGGGGATGAGTAAGTCTGATGTTTAACAATCTTAAATTAAGATATCTTTCCATTCTATACTTTTCAGGTTGTAACTCACTTCTCCTCATAATTGATACCTGGCAATTGACTTTAAAAATGTGAACCTAAGCGTTGACAATTTAATTAATTAAAAGCTCAAGTTTTTGCCTTTGTAAAAGTATTTTTTTTTTGCCTTTTTCTTATTTGAGCCTTTGCAATGGAAAGAGTTTGCTTGATCAATGCCAAATCTGGTCAAAGACAAATTTGTATGAACATTGATAAAGCTTATAATTTATGATCTTAAAGATTATTATGTAGAGTGTAAAAGGTTGTAAAAGGTAATTAAAATTGGATGGAGAATTGCTAATGGCTAAACTAGTTTTCAATAGGTGCAGCAGTTTAAGATGTAAAACTAAGAATTATTCGATGTGAGATGAAGGAACGGGTGAAAAATTATTTAGACAGAATGAGAAAGATAAGAGAGCCGTAAATTCACTATGTAGGGCTTTTACTAGAACGGACCTGGAGACATTGTTACCTACTGAAAATTGGAACGAAAGCCGACATGAACACTAGTTCTAAGATCTATGAACAGTTTTTAATTGGCTGCCGGACACACAACTGCTTAGTGAAGATTATACGCTATACACAGAACTAGCGTCCATAATATAGATTTAAGAATTTTTAATATTAACGATAGAATTGTAGTTCTTAAAGGTTTAGTAACACTGTTCCACAATTTATGATGAATAAATTGAAATTGAATAGCCAAATTTAAGGAGATACATCATTTCATTCAACCGCCTTATAAGTTGCAATAAAATGCGCATCTATTCAAAAATGACCAAACTTCAATTCAAGTTTTTATTATTATTCTTTGTTAGTTTTTACATCCTTTTCTCCAAAATCATACAAATTTGAAGAGAATATAAAAATAAAACACATTAAAAAATATTGCCTCTTATTTAGTCGATAACCACCTGGCGATCGATTTATTTGTTTGGTTTATTTTTAAAAAATGGAATATAAAAATGAGAAATATTTTAATAATCGTGGACTTTAAGTTTAATTTGTTATTTATTTTGCGATTGGATTGTGAATTTGGGATGAATTACGGGAGTTGGGTTTAAAATTTTAATTTTATTCTAGAACATTGAGTAAGTGAGCTCATGGGTTTGAGACTGGGTATAGGAATTTTTTAAATGTCCTTTTTGAATCGTTTATACTTAAAATGAGGCTCACAGCCTTCCTTTTGAGGCTACAGACAGAAATGTTATCAAAGAAGTGGCTAGGATTCTGCTATGAATGCTAGGTTTGAGTGCTGTGGTTTGGAGCATCTTCACTAATAAACTCTCATTAGCTGCGATACACCCTAGCGCTTCTCTGAATCACAATTGATCTGCATCTAATCTTTAATCCCCTTATTTCAACCACACCTTAATGTCTCTCACAAAAAATGCACATAAATTTCTGCAACATCTTCTTCCATTCCCATCAAAAATCGTCCCATTAATTTTGAGAATAAAATCTTCATTGCAAAACATTTTAAATCCAGAATAAATTTTATATTCAAAAGAGACATAAATAATACAAATAAAGCGGCAAATCTTAATGAATTTTATTCAAAGTAAAATTTATGCGCATAGACACATGTGAGTTCCCAATTATCATAAATTTTAAATTGATAAATCATAATAAAAATAACGATATTTCTTCATACATCTTGTCTACTGCTTGTTCGTCTCATCAAACGAGTCATTCGTTATTGCAATGTACCCGTATATATTTCAATCAAAATACAATTTTTTTTATATTTCATTTTTATTCTTTATTTTAATATGAATGGGAGATAAATTTGAGTATTTATGAATATATCAATTTGTTTGATGTCGATTGGAATTTTAACAACTCTTTTTATTCAAGCGAAACGAGAAGAAATTATTAAAATTAAATGAATGACTGTGTGTATCAAATTGAGAATAATATATTTATTTTTTTTAAGAGGTACAAAATCAAATAGGGGACATGATGATTAATTTTTGATGCAGTTTGTCTTAAGCTTGTTCAAACTTTTTTATAATTTCATCCTTTGTGACAACGATTTGAGTTTTGAGCTTACAAAAGAAACGGTTTTGATTCGGATTGGAATAGGATACACCATATAGGTCAGAAATTGTATCAAGGCTAGAAACAATGCCTCCATTGACAAATCTGGGTAAAACGTTCATCACCAACAAAGAAAAAGCCAGCGCACTCAGCGAGTATTTTCGTGAAGCTCACGAAAATCCTCTGGAACAAAACGATCCACAACATACACAGGAAGTAAACAACACAGTCAAAGAAGCATTGGAACAAGACAATGATGAGAATCCAGAACTAACAGATGTTGTATCTTCACGTATGATGTTGTAAGAGAGACAACCAACAACATCGGTCTTTTCGCAGATGATACAGCACTGTATCATTCTGCAGAGAACTCGGCCGATATTGTGACACATCTACAGCACACAGGAAGAAAAGTTCAACAATACATGAACAAATGGAAGATCAACCTCAACAAACAGAAGACTCAAGCCTTATTCATCACAAACAGGCACTCCAGGCAACTACCAGGAAATAACATCAAATTTCTCAACGAAAACATCAAATGGGAAACAGAAGCTAAATATCTGGGAATGGTGATCGACAAGAGAGTGACATTAAAGCCGCATGTGGAGTTTGTGACCAATAGGGCTCACACCGCATTAAGACAGCTTTATCCGCTCATCAGCAGGAACTCACAACTCGACGTACGAAACAAACTTCTCATCTACAAGCTAGCCATCAGACCAATATTCACATATGGTTGTCCAGCGTTTGGAAGCATGGCAAAAACCCATCTTCAAAAACTTCAAGTACTGCAAAACAAATTCTTGAGAATTGTTCTCAATAAAACAAGATATGAAAGGATCACCGATCTTCATACAGAAGCGAAAATACCGTCCATCGAAGACTACGTCGGAAAGTTGCAAGCGAACTTCAACAGTCGTCTTGCATCTCAAAACACCGAATAAATCAAATGAAATACAAAAGAAAGTAAAATCCGTAAATGAAATCAAAATTAAGAGACAAAAGGCAAATTGAATGCCTGAAACCTTAAAACAAAAAGCAACATAATGTATAGAAACTTTGTACATACTTAAATTTAAATGTAAATAAATAAAAAGTTTAATTTAAAAAAAAAAAAAAAAAATGTATCAAGGCTAGCCTTCTCTAGCCAAATTTTTGACACCAGGCGTGTAGCCTGGAGGGTCTTGCCCCCCCCCCCCCCTTGAACGTTTTGAACCGCAGCAAGAGCACGGCCTAAAATGCTTAAGAGAGATACAAGACCCTCCTAGCTACGCGCCTGTTTGACACCCTAGAATAGAAATCAAGTAAGACTATGACTAAAGCAGAGTTCCCCTATATAGCATTAAGAATAAAGCTCATATTCGTTGTTAGCCGGTTGAGATCGGATTAGTTTCAACTATTTCTTAAAAAATCTCAAGAAAATCAGCTCAAACCTTCTCTTACGAACTCAAAACATGATTCAAGACGTCTTTAAGTTGCTTGACATTTTAAGTGAGCAATTCCTAATGTTTGCTAAAACTCAAAATAAAATCAAGTTGTTTTTATGTCATCGACTTTCTCCCCCCATCTTATGTCAATAAGCTTTATCACTGTATCCACTTTATACTAGCGTTTGACTGAACAAAAAGATTATAAAACACACACAGTAAAGCTAATCCTCTTAAAATGCTCATAAAATTCCAAACTGCGCCCCAAACACCCCCACAACTTCACTCCCATACTTCCTTCCTCTTCATCATTTCATTCCATTCCTCTCATTTTTGCTGTCTTCATTAAAAACTCTTGTCAGATTGTGTCATAAATAATCATTCTCAATTCAATATTGATTGAGATGAAGTGATAATAAACAATCAGATATGAATTTAATGACATGAGACACAATAAAGTTGTAGTTTTGAAAGAGAACTCCAATCAATGTAGATTGAATATCCACATAATATCAAGTCATGATGACGATGGAAGAAAATTTATATAGAAAAATGAAAAACAAGAGTCAGCATACACAAATGAGGTCAAATATGTAAATTATGAATGCTTGTTAATAAAATAATATAAATGATGACACATTTGTGATGATTTATTGATTTATTTTATTAGTTAATTTTCATCATGTTTCTGATTTTTATTTTTTTATTTCTCGGTAATTTTTGAGTGACAATCCGGAACGGAATTTTTATGGAAGATTATTCTTGATGTTGGCAAATCCTGAAAGTTATGGCATGGATTAAGGGGGGTCATGGAATTGTAAGCAAGACTAATTTAG